TTCAAAGCAAATTGGAAAAAGAAGCGTCTGGATGTGATAAGCAAGTTCGGTGCAGGAGATTCCACTGAAATCGATGGCGATGGGAGACCATTGGATCCAACAGATGAGATGATGTTAATCTTTGCCAACGACAACAATATTACAACTGAGGAGGCCTGGCACCGATTCAGAGGAGAGCAGTTCATTTGCAAGGTGGCACTCATGATCCTATCATTTGGTCATACTCCGCAATCCTTCAAGGAGGAATATGGCAACTTCGAACACTCCACCAACTTGACTGATGCCCAGCTTGAGGAGTTGAAAGCGAAGAAAGCCAGCGCAATGACTGAATTGGTACAGAAGTGCATCCATGCGATTTATGGTTGTCGGACATATTCCTACTTTAGAACCGACATTACATCACCCAACCACAAGGTGATCGATCCTCTGGACATCATGTACTCGAGAATGAAGAGCAAGTGGGAGAAGTCTATTCTGTTGATCATTGATCAACATGAGATCAGGTTACCCCCACAAGCTCAGGAAGTCATAGAGTCAATGGCCAGAAACCCCAACGTTGGACATACAGAGAGATGGATGAGCGTGGTAGAACATAAGCATGTTCAAGCTCTTACCAATCGTCTAGGCTTTGGAGATAGGGCCAAGGAGATTCAGGGCAAGAAGAAGCAGGCAGCCAAGGCAACAGCTAAGTCAACATCAACGACTAAGTCTGAAGCGAAAACGGCATCTTCGTCAAGAGCTGAGGCAAAGCCAGCATCTACACCCAGAACCGAGGCCAAGCCGTCGTCAGCACCAAGTGAGGAGCCAAAACCTTCAACAGCACCTAAGAGTTTCGGGCCCTCATCAACAGAGGAGAACAAGGCGAAGGCTGTTCTAAAAGCCAGACCACATGATAAATCACCATCCAGTGCTACCGATGTGTTCGAGCAAGCTTTGCAGGAAGATCTTGCCGCCAACACACATGCAGCAGAAGGTACAACTTCTTCATCATCTCGAGGACATTCCAAAGGAGGAGGCCAATCTGGAACATCTTGGAGGCCGGCGCTAACGCAAGAACATCGCGAAGTACCTCAACCTTCTGAAAAGGGAAAGGGAAAGAGCAAGTCCAAGGGAAAGTCCAAGAAAGGAGAAGATGATCGGTGGGATGCTCAGGGCAGCTGGGATCATCGTGGATGGAGAGGTTATCACCAGTGGTGATTTCTTTGAACGACTATGAGGATACCATGCAAACCAGGGAGGAAGTCATTCACCGGATGTCTATCTGACCTGAAACGCTGTAAGTGTATCATTGCAAATCGTCAATCTGATTTGATACCATGAGCATAATGGAAGGAAGACAATCACCGACTGTCTCTCCGACTTGCCGTTCTGTAAGTGTATCCAAACTAAAACCTACATCTTTTGAGAAGTGTGAAGTCAGTTGCCGATGTGACATCTACGTGGAAGTCACCAGTTCGGATCTACATCAAAGCGATGCTCTTTTGAGTGGATACTGAGCGAGGCCTCGTGACTGTCTCACTTGTTCAATTCGATTTTTTTTCAAAGGTTCTGAGCCATAGTTGCACACTTTATATGTAAAAGTCCGCTTTAGTCCAGCATGTTTCGTAGTATGAGCCTCATATGAGTCTCGCGGCAAATCATACAATTTCTTTGTAGCACTTACATCCCTTAATTTTCGTGTGTGATCGGAACATATTGTTGCCGTTCACATGGGGGGTGCGAATGGAAGTGCAGCGACACGTACAGTGCAACTTGTACATATATATATATATATACCATATGTACTTTGGCTCAAGGCTCAAGCGACTAGAAAAGGTGCGGTTTCCGTTCCGACGCTACGCCGCTTATGGACCGTCAGTGATAGCTTCAAACTTCGCTGATTAAGATCCACTCGCAGAATATATAAAGATATATATATATGTGAATATGGGAATCTTATCGGAATCTGCCGTACTGGTACCTTTGTGTGCGAAGGTTAAGTGTGCTTTTTGTCCCGCGTTCGATCTTTTCAAACATGAAACCGTCGGCACTCAAACGTGATTGAGACATTGTGTTCATGTCTTCTTTGTCGCTTTGCCGACGAAATCCAAGGTCTGGGCACATGCCGTCTTCTATTTCACAGGGGTTGGAATCACGATCTTGTTGATGAATTTGTTGATTGGTGTGTTGGGGCAGAACTTTGAGCTCTACCAGGACCAAAGTGCTTTGCTTTTCCAACGAGCTCGGGCCAAAATGCTGCTTGAAATCAAGGCCCGCCCTTGGAGGCGCATTGGAAGCGGGTTCATCAAGATGATCCGACAGATATGGCTTTCTGAATTTCGATATGGCTTTCTATTTCTGTGGCTGGGTGCCAGTATCCTCTTGATGGTATTCCTGCCTTTCTTGATCACCTTGGGCACATGTGTCATCTTCATTGCAGTCACGTGCCGCATTGTCTTCCAGATACAATTGAGTGGCATCTACTACTCCACAGCAGTTGCACTGGGCTACTACGGCCCTCAGGCCAACGCAAAGGCGGACGAGAGCTGGATTTGGGTGTTGGTTCGTCCGGAGCGGCCCCTGGAGGACATGAGGAGCCTCCGCACTGAGCTCAGGAGCCAACTAGAGAACCTCAGACTGGAAACACTTCCTTTGCTGGCTGGTAGAAGTCTTGATTCGATATATAGATATATATATATACACATCGAGACCCTATTTTGCTTCTGTACGACAAACACCAAATATCGGCTTGACTGTTTGTTTTTTTTTTACATTGCAATTTTGATTGAGTCCAGGATAGTTCCACAGCCTCCCACTGTCGTTTTTCTCTCATTCACGTGACATAAAGAGCAAAAGAGAAGGGCTCGTCGCGGTTTGTGCTACCTTGAATTTCCTCTAGTGGGGTTTCAATAGATGAGATGTCCGGGTTTAGAACCCTTTTGCTGTCACAGCTGTAGCACCAGCGGAACAATCATAGACCTTGATAATCATCCCGTTTGCCGGCTGGGCAAACCGTTCTTTGTCGCTCATGACCAGCCACAAGCAGTCCATTTGTTCTGAAGCACCGAGCCACTAAGGAGCAAGTTCAGCGAAGTGAACTCCACACAGATACTCGGCTTTTTTCTCAGTCCCCAAGAGAGATGGTCGGCTCCAAAGCAAACGGGCCGCCGTTCGTTTTCCGATCTTGTGGCCTCCTGTGGAGTCCACAGCATCCCATAAGACTAGAGTATATAAAGGAACATTAAAGTATGTAACGTATTATAGATTACAACATAACTAAATTCAGTTTCAATCTGAAAGATATTGAAAGAAGAAAAGTGACGGGTTCTGCAGGAATGCACAGAAACCTCTCAAGTAATTAGTTGATATGCTTAAAACCCTCTAAGTCCACGGCTCAGTCTTTGGAGAGTGGCACGAGAGTACTAAAGAATCTGAAGCTCACCCTGCTGCTGGAGTTCACACGACCCTCACCTGCTTGGTAAAGGCTTGCAAAGGTTTTGCTTTGGCAGGTAGATGTTCGCCTTCAGGTGACAGCTACACACAGGCAATCTTAAGTGTGCATCCTTCCAAGGGGCCTGCAACAAAGCATCTTATACACAGTACTCAGTACTCAGTATATAATCTAAGGCAATTTGATTTGATACTCTTTTGAGAGGCAGATGGCTTTGGATTTTGGCGGTTTTTTGTCGCAGACTTGCTTCCCACCTCAAAAGCTCATTTTCGGCTGGTGGTGGTTATCAGAAGGGCATTGTATTGTTTCTCTTTGGGCCAAGTTTGTCAGGAAGAAGTTGGAGACTTCGAATGTGGAACAGAAACAGAAGCTGAATGGAGTGGAAGAGAAATTGCTGAATATGGAGACACTTGGACTTGGAAGAATGCCATGGAGGTCACTCCTCACATCCACGTCACTGCAAAGCGCTAGCTCCCCATTTGTGTACTTCAAACGGTGTTTCACTGATTTTTGCAGAGATCTTTGGAGTGATGTGATGTTCCTGTTCCTGTTTGAAGAGGCAAGCGTAGTTCAAGAGGTGCACGTTCAACTTGTTAAGCAAAACCAGACCATGTTTGGTGACAATGCGAACCTCTGTAAGGAAGGCGTTGGAGGCATCGGGTTCAGAGCAAAAGGCAAAGCTGGATGGAGTTGAAGCGAAGTTGTTGCGCATGGAGACACTTGACTTGTGAAAAACCAATGTTTTATTTTTAATGCCGTTTATGGGAGAGATGGGGTTATTGCAGGACAGAGTGTTACTGCGAAACCGATTATAATTCTCTTCATTTGAGGGCATGGGGAATAGACTCGACTGAAAAACGCCAGGTGTCAAGGGGCGACCCCAACCTTGACCCTAGCAAGAAGCTACTAGGAGCAAAGGGCATCGCTATTGACCCTAGCCCCAAGGAGCCATCTTGAGAGATTGATGGCCTTGACGGAGAAACTGGTGGATGCGCCACCGGCCACATGAGAGGTCCCGCTCGGCCAAATGGCCTGAATGGGTTGAAAGGCGCTCAGTGGTTTGATCCGCGGCCATGACATGGTGTCCTCAACGTTTGATGTACACCCGTGGCCAAGGATGCCGCTGATGTGAGCCACAGCGTGTGGTGAGTTGTTGACCCAAAAGGGCGTGTTTGTGCGCTTACATGGCTGAGTGTAGTGACTTTAGTCAGCACCTAGCACAGCAGAAAAGCAATATCTTTCCTGTGAATCAAAAGACAGTGGGGTAGCAAATAGGAGAAACTCACACGGCTCGTGCAAACCACTGTATTTGGGCCGGTCAGTACCAAGTTCCTGTTTCAAGTATACAATAGTGTCCGAGCAACTGAGATTAGATCTCAAGGTTGGTGATAGCCGTTTCGCCTCTAGCTGTTTTCCACCAAACCAGGTCACGTCCAGACAGATTGACCCCGTGAGAACATCAAACAATCAAGCAGGGTACTTTTGGGTCAACAACCTGCAGCTGTATGGATTCCACGGGTCATCTATGCTTAGGCTCCCATATCCATGTTCGTTCGGGGTCTCGTCCAAGGCTATGCCACATTGTGGCCAGCTGGCAGAGCACAACTGACCTGTCACATCCTCTCATACCTTGGAAAACGTGTCATCCAACTTAAATAAAGTCAATACGCCCTAATAGCGATGGCCTCGAATCTAAACAAAACATATCAAAAATGCAAGCTGTTCCACTTAGTAAAAAGGGAAGAGCTGCATGCCTTTATGTCTGGAATCATTTGAAGAAGAGCTGCATAAAGTCTGGAATCATGTTCGGATGTTTTCAGAAACCTTCCCCTTGTGGCCAAGTGTTTGGGCCATACGTGCCTGATCTTCCAAAAGCGAGCATCACGGCAGGCTTGACTTGTACCGAAACCGCATTGCAGACAATGGCGTGGGACGGCTTGCGGAGGCTGACCGGTCATGCTCCATCATGATCCACAATCTTTGGAAAGGCATCGCGATGCGTAGCGATGGCCTCCGACCTAGTAGCAATTCAATCTTTGGAAAGGCATGCATGCGGCAATTGTGATGGATTGATGACTTTTTCAGTGCCGATGTTTAAGAGGCTGTTCCGCAATGTGGACATTTGGAGTGGTCACAGTCCAAGCTGCATGCACAAGCGGCCATGGTATCAAAGTTATGCAAGCGCCATTCGAGCCAGCTAAGGCTTAGATTGTTAGAAAACTCCTATGGCATCAAAGGAGCAACGCGAATGGTTGAAGCATGGGAGGCAGCTGTTTTGGATTGTTTTGGTGTGTGCGGGTGCTTGTGCATACAGTACATCTCTGAGCCAGATGGATGATCCACCCAGTCCTTCTGAATTTAGAGGTTTGATATGTTCAGGGGACCAGGGATTCATCATTCACAATTTGATGGGGATTGACCAAAACGATGTGAATCACTGGTGAGACAATTGAATGTAACTCTTGCTGCGACGCTTATGTGCAAACCGTCTGGCATGTCCCGTGCTGCGGCATTTGAGGCAGCAGGAAAGGCCAAGGGGCCTTGGCCACAGACATGTTGCGATACACATGAAACCAACGAAGCTGACTAAGCTGTGAATAGAACAGCTGGGCGATGAGAACAGCAGATGTTGAGAGATGAGAGATCGAGAAATGAGATTACATGAGAGAGGGTTAGACACTATATGCTGTGACAATGTCATACATAGGGATGAGGAGGTACACTTCAGACTTTGGTGTACCATACTTCACGCCCGCAAGTCGCATCGAGGCGATTACTTTGCCGTCCATCGCCATGCAAGAGCGGAGGCTCGACGAACATCTGTTGGGAGGGCACCTGAGGGCAACTCTGGACTAAGTACGGACGACAAGAAAGACTTTGCTTCATCCTGGTAGGTTATGCAGGCTGGGCCAGTTGGGGCAGTGTCTCACTGAGCTTCTTGACTGTTCGATATGGGTGAATTTGGAAGCATTGGAAGGTTGTGTTGCTCACAACCAAGGCCCTTCCAGGGTGGTACCTCGACAGGAAGGCAGGGACACCTGGTTTTGGGCTTATTGTTGGTCTGTAGAATCTGAAGGAACTGAACGGGAGAACGGTGGAGAATCTTTTCGGATCCTTTTCCGCTTACCAAACAAGGGGTAGCTAACTGAAGAGTTCACTCAGAGATGCATGTCGAGGACAGTTTTGATCCATGCCGATCCCATTCCGAATCTCTGACTTTTCTGTCTGACCGACATGTTGCTCACTCTCCTTCGTCTTCTGTCCGAAGGCGATCCAAAGCCAAAGGTGCGGATGTCGCTCTAGGCACCCAGAAGTGGGAAATAGTGGGAAGAGTCACAGCAGATTTTCAGCCGATGCTCATCAGCTGTGGCAATCTTCTGCCAAATGAGAGGAAGAAGTGTGAAGATGATTAATTGCTCATGATTTTTCTGTCAGACCCTCCGTCCCTGTCCCTTCTTGAAACCTTGATTGCGGTAAGTGGTAAGGATCTGGCTGAAGTCAGAGGGTTGATAGCTCACGCTAGCTCTGCACAGCTGCAGAGTTTTATATAGTATGTTTTAGTTGTGGTTGTGCTTTACTGACGTTGGCTGCAGGGAATATTGTCGCGCCGCCATGCCGGTTAGCTTTGAAGTTACAAGTTCTTCTTGAACTTGAAGCCGTGGAATGGCAGGATGCTGAGCTGATGGGCGCAGCAGAATTACGCAGCGGATATAGTATCGGCATGTATCGGCTAGTGGCTATAGGTCTTCTTCGACTGCAGCGTCAAAGACTTTAACCTACTCTCTCTCTCTATATATATATACACTAATTTGACACTTACATATATCAGGCAGCTGCAAATAGAAGTTGAAGCGATACTATGGACAGTTGCAACATTATGATGTGGTATGATGTGAAGGTGATGCTGCAGTTGAAACCCTTACCCTCAAAAAGCTGTTTGGTGGCGCGAATCCGTGTGAACCTGCGCATCAAGCGCATGGTGTGCCAAAGCATTGCACGCATTTCAAAGACACTGTGTACTCTGAAGTCGAGCTGCTTCATCTGGAATCTACAGAACATACGATGACGCTTCGTTTCTGAGGCATGAATGTACACTGATCACTTAGCATTCTTCAGCGAAGTCTTTGAATCAGGATATTCAGATTTATACTGTACCTTTGAATGCAGAAGGCATCTCAGAGGCTTTTCCAGGACAGTTTGCCCTGCGTTAGTGACCGCTGATCATTTGGAGCTCAAGAAAACTGCACAGAAAGCAAGATATTTCATATTATTTCATGATATGTTTGTACTTGGAGCTTCAGCTTGATCCAGCATGCAATTCTGCCCAGATGCACCTGAGGTGCTGTGGTGTCCAAAACGTGGAAGAACCGATTCTTTCTTCGATGCAGGTAGATGTAGTGACTAGAGAAGGGCAAGGAGTCTCTTGGTATTCAAACTTGGCAGGGTAGATGAAGCAGGATTCTTGCCTAGTCTAGTAGATCTTACTACAGTATATAGTTTGTGTGGAACGTTCAGTGCAACTCAGTCGCGGCGACGTGTCCTGGACATTCACTTTGCCGGTGGACATGACATGGGATGAACACCCGCATTCCGACGTGTACAAGCAAAAGGCCAAACCTGGCCCAATGGGTTCGCTGTCTACGTTTTTCCTTTGCTACATATTTTGAGAGAGTCGACTCCCTTTAAGGCTGAAGGTATGCTTTTTGCACTTGGTTTGGCTCAAGGCCAAGGGCCTGGTTTGGAAAGTTGATCAGCACATGGAACCAAAGCAGCACCCCAAAACACTGCCGGTGGGTTGAAGATCATCCCGTGGACGCCACAGATCCAGTTTCTTGGGTGCACCAGTCGGTTCACCTTTTCTTGAATTTTTTTGATCAGAATATGCCAAAGCCAGACCACCTTCAGACTAATGACCACTGGAAAGCATTGCCCCCAGACCAGCCTTCAGCTTAACGCCAAAGGCGAACGTTGCACAAAACAACTGTCCAATGCATAATGATGCGATTTCCATGCTCCAATGCGCTCGTCCAGCTTGTCCTACAGAGCAGCGCTGCCATGAAGCGCTCCAGTCTTGAAAGACTGGCAGACGAGCAAACTGAGATATGGCCAGAATCTCAGTCTCCGTGGTGCATGATGAAGCAGACAGAACAATAACATTGCCAAATGTTGTGTCATTGAATTAAATTGAATAACACATGATTTGATTATTATAGTAATTTAGCAATGATATTGTGTAACGCAAACAATGATATTTTATAATTACATATATGTAACGCATATCAATACTACCATGTCATACATCGCATGAACACAACACGTGCTTCTTTTGCCGTGTCCCGCTTTGATGCTTCAACCAACTGACCACAGAAGGAAGGCATGGGTGAGGTTTTGGAGGAACGCGCAAAGGAATGCATTTCCACTTGGTGCCGGATGTTTGTAGGTAACAAGGACGCTATTAGGGGCTCCTGGCCTTACAACTAGGAGCAAGGACGCTATTAGGAGCAATGGGCATCGCTAACAACGGAGCAAGAAGCTACGAACGTAACAAGTACTCAGAGCAGAATTCGCCAACAATTCAATCCACTGAGGTATGTCCAGGAGAATCCTAAGAGAAAAGGGAGCGACTCATGGAAGAGGCACCTAGGCAATCATATTCGACATCGTTCACTGCATGCTAAATCTTCCTTGGCCATCCAGTTTACAGCAACGTCGTTCAACATGAAGCAAGACATGCATTTGTCCAACAAAGGTTGCTGAGATTTAGATTGTGTACTTTTCTTGAGGTATGAGGAGTACAAGCAGGCCAAAACTGTGGGCGAGGCCGCATGCCCCAGCTTGGCGTTTCGCCCATGCGCTCAGCGTGGTCCTCTGCGTTGTACTTCACTCAGCGTGCCATGAGGCCTTGCAGCTCGGGTCCTGGAAAGGCGACTTGAAGCATGACTTCGACCACAGGCCCTCGGAGCCATCGGGGTGACCGCCAGTCATTGCCATGGTTGAGACAATCTGTTTTTAATGTTTGTGGTGTTGACTGTGTGTTTTATTCGTGCAAAGAGACTAGACCATGAAGCACGAAGGCCATTTTCTCACGCATTCTTTCTTTGATGTATTCAAAAGGGTTGCTGATCTTTGGGGCTTTTTGAATCTTGTTTATGTTTGTCTTGATACGTTGCCTTGTGCTTCCGCCAATGGGGGGAGAACCGTTTCTTGACCGGTTTATACAACATTATCATTGGTTAATAACGGTTTCTACACTTACTGTGTGAGGTTTCTACACTTCAAGGAGGTGCAAGGTGCTGCGAAGCGGGCAGCAAAAGCACGTGCGACGAAAGCGACTCCGTGCCGTGAATCCAAAGCTTCTCGGAAGAAATCACATCAAATATTTGGTCCTTGGATGCTTCCTCATGTTAGACTCCAACTAGTTTGCTAGGGATTCTTTTTGTTTTGAACTGTGCATTAGCTAAACACAAAACACTCGCAGGTAGCTTGGATGGTTTGCCCATATGCAGCGCTCCTCTCCACTCTGAGGCGGTCCCAGCAGAGGATGAGCAAGGCGATCCCATCGAAGATCAAGGCCAAGTTTTGATTTCTCCAAGCCACAAGGGTTGCTATATCGAAGAAAGCATGAAAAAAACATGAAAACACATACAAACAAACGAAAGTATGTGAAAGTAGGGCAACTTTGCCTTTTGGGAAAGAGGCCATTGCTATTAGGTTGACTCTTCTTCGGATGCCCCGCAGAGGCATGGCAGAGTCCGCGGAGCCTGCGGAGCCCAGCTCCAGTTCCAAGCGCCTCGCGCAGGAGCTGAAGCGGCGTAGGAGCGCCTTGGCTGCGTAGATGGTGGAATGGTGGATATTGATCATGATATTGCTACTTGTAAGTCTTAAAATGTATTGTAAAGGTACGGTGGGAAGGTCAGTGCTTGAAGGCTTGGGTTTTGGTACAAGTAGCTAGCCACCCATCACGAACTTGCGACGTGTAACTATGGGGTTTGACACATGACTCATGACCCACACGCGGACCCATTTTCCATTCCCTGTTGTTTGGCACAACTGTTGTCGCTCCCGCAGGTGCTCCACGGCAAGACAAGGTGCCGGGCTTTTTGATGTTTGAAACTTGGGAAGTCAGTGCTTTTGGCTGCGCTGGCCAGGAGAGCCCCCAAGTGTGGAAGAAGCTGAAGTCGAAAGGCATCCTCACAGAGAATGATGCAGATGAGGCAGGTGCAGTGTACCGGCATGCCTGATTGCATGTATTGCATGAGCAGGCGAGTATATGTAAAAACACAAACTACATCAAACTACAAAGCAACAATTATACACAACACCGTGCTTATACTGTGGTTCTCCGATTGATGGGGCATCGTTTGCTAAGAGTGTTGGATGATGATTCCACAGGCAGCGCGGCTTTGCCAAATGAAATGTGATTTTTGTGCTCGTTGGGTTTTCAAGCTCTTTGACACTTTGAAGTTGTACAATCTAAAGCAGCAGCGTCGTTGATATCGATGAGTCTTCAAGGCGAAGGAAGACCTTCCCCAATCCTCTTGCGCTTCACAGCCAGGCATGGAGTAGTAACGAACGATGTAGTTTACATTCCTGATCAATTCAAATGGGTTGACTGTGGTTGAGATGATTGTGGTTGACACGGAAAGTAGCAAACAAGGTAAAATAGATGTTCAGTATGACCTAAGACCTAAGAAATCGTTAAAAGAGCTTCAAAGGGGCGTTCATGGGCAGTTTCCTGATTTCCAACACAAGTTCTCCCAAGAATGTTAACTGTTTCTATTTATTTAGTTTTAAAGCTTGATCAATTTGTTGGGGCAGTTCTTTGGGCTCCACCCAGTGGTGGCGGATGTTCCAGGACCTACGGTGGCAGAGCGACGTCCTGCTTCGCCTTTGCAAGGCGAGCAGCTCTCGGTGGCTTGGACTCAGCCGCAAATCGGCGATTGGGGGAGACCACTTAAACATACTCAAACGCTTGTTCCCCGCTTTGTTCATAAACCACCACTTCCGTGAATAGTGATAGTGTTGTTGTTTGTTGCTGTTGCTTTTGCTGTTGCTGTCAACTGTTGTTTGTTGCTGTTGCTGTTGCTGTTGCTGTTGTTGTTGTTGCTGCTGCTGCTGCTGCTGCTGCTGCTGCTGCTCCTGTACATTTGTTCTTTTAATCAAGCAATGGTTGTGTGTCATGATCTGTGATGTCCTTGAAAATTATGGTCCATCAAAGTTTGTTTGGATCCATTTGGGTCGCGATGCAAAATCGAGATCACGGAATCGAGGTGGCAGACCTGTGCAGTAGACCTTCAGACTTCCATGAAGTGCTCTCAGAAGTCGCCCGGAGTCTCAGAATTCCTTGATGATTTGGAGTAAAATAACTATTAGTAATGGCCTCCACCCTAGTAGCGTCCTTGCTACTAGTAGTAATGGCCTCCAACCTAGTAGCGATGGCCTCCACCCTAGTAGCGTCCTGGTTCATCCTATTTGTTTTTATTTATACAGTTAATTGTTAACTCTTGTATACACACACTTCCATGATTCATTGTGGTTAATGTTTCATGACCTCTGAGCTGACAGATATGCACGCCGAAAATGGTGTTGTATTATGCAGCTAAGCAGCAAGGATACCGAGGCCTGTTTTTTCTGATGTATGAGTCAACAACGTCAGCCTATGACTTGGGAGACAGGTGTAAGTCTCCAGGTTATGTGTCTCTTACATGTTTGCAACCTTAAAACCTTTGTATTATAGCTCCCCGGCAGCTGACATTTTGCTTTGTCACTCTTTTTTTGAACTCTTGCCATGAATGCAAGCCTTTGTGTTTTCAAACACAGAACTGGGGCAAAAGAAGCACCGTGGTTTGACGAGGGTTGTTCCTTTTTCCATCCATCTACGGTATATAATAGCCAGGATTCCAACCTCTTTGCTCTCGTCCTACAGTGTACTTTCTCACCACCTGAGAAAAGACCCCAAAAAACCTCCTGGCTTTGCTTGCTTTTTGCACATCACTCCTGGTGTTGGGCTGTTGAAAGGAGTTATAAACGTTGTCATGCCACGTCTTTTCGATTTGAAGCTCCTTTTTCTTAGCTAATATAGCTGAAGTACATTCTAATATCGCCTTCATTGATGGTTTGTAGCTGAAGAACTTTTCAGTGTCACCTTCATGCACCTCAGGAGCAAAACGCACGAGACTTTGCTAGAGAATGTGGACTTCCTGAAGAGGCCAGGACTCCTCTAATGGCAAGCAGACATGGCAGCCGGGGCACGCCACGGCAAGGTCATAGAAGGCAGATGTTTCTTCCTAGGAACAAGAAGCTACTAGGAGCAAAGGGCATCGCTACTAGGAGCAAGGACGCTACTAGGGGCTCCTGGCCGTACTACTAGGAGCAAGAAGCTACTACAAGGTATATGCACACGAGGGAAGTGATGACCCACCCCCAAGTGAGCCCTAGCAGAACATGAAGATGAACATTGGCCAAGTGAATTTGTTTGACACGTGTTTGTTCCATGTTTATGTTTTGTGTTTTGATCTGAAATAGATTTCCACATGCTTTCATGACACAACGTTTTTTTAATATTAGCCCTTGGTTCCACCTTGGCTCGGTGAATGCTCTTACCTTGCTTGCTTGCAAAGTTTCTGTAATGTCAGCTGACCTTTATTCGCTGTTGGTTCTAACTCGGGTGAAGTTTGTTTCTGTGTTACCTTGGGTACTTCTGCACTTACGCACAGGTTGTAATCTGTCCTCACGCGCGAGAAAGCAATGCATCCTCTCCAAGATAAATTTTAAAGCTGTCCAAAACTGTAGGAATCAATGGGGCCCACCCCAATGTATGCGATAGGAGCAATGCCCTAGCTACATCTAGCTACTACACTACACAGCTAAGGATCAAAATGCACGGCAAGCAGGTCGTGCGGATGTATCCAGAGTTGGACGTCTCTGAATGATTTTCTTCCGACCTTTCTCAGGAGATCGCGTCCACCGTGGAGGATGAGTCAACATGGGAGGCGCAAAGTGTGTAATTTGGCCGTGTTATCTCATGTCCATCTTGCAGATTTAGAACTGTTTATATAGAGCGGTTTAGAACTGTTTAAAGGTCAGAGTGACATCAGAGGCTGCGCAGACAAAGAGCAGAAATGGGACCCGTCAAGCCCACGAGCTTTGACAAACAGGCTGTTTCGGCTAAAGCTGAAACCGCGCAGAAGTCGACAAAAAAAAACTCGCTCCAAAAACTCCAAATGCGCTCTTTTTTGCACTCCTGCCTGTGGTCAGTCCCACTAATCAGATCTGTTGAGGTGGTAAAGTATTGCCACGAGTCGAGACCCTCCAGTTTCATCATTCACAATCATTCGCAGTTTATGGGAAGTAATGAGAAACACCGTAGCAATCGTAGCAATGCTTAGATATGTTTACAGTAGTATTTGGCTCGTGGGTTTAGATGTGCGGTTTGTGCTCGGTTTCCAGATAATCTTTCTAAATGTTGCAAGACCAATGTTTGAGGAAGAGTTGGCCTAGACCAGGAGAACATAGACTCAGTGACCGGAGGCTTAATCTGATGGTCCTCACGCTTGTATGATTCCAGATTGTCATTCTAAAGTTTAGTTCAACTAAGTGATAAGTGATGTGGAGGTTGGGTAAGTTCTTGTCCCGACATGTGGTTCATGTTCAATGCGAAACTCACAGATCCTATCAGAACATGCTGGACGTGTTTTGGCGATGCTCTTCAGGCAGTGTCTGCTGAGGAGCCGCCTGCAGAGGAGACTTCTGCGCAGAGTTCGGAGCATGAAGCAAACCACGAAATAGCCCCTAACTATGAATGCAATTGGCAAACTTCGTGGCCTTTCTCATCCTTTCTCAATTTGCTGGTGATTGTTTCCAAAGGAAGCTGGCAGTTCGGCTGCTCCGTCACTACTGGATTGGCTGCTTGGCGTGTACCCATTTACAATTCGGCATTCTTTTTTGCGGTGCTGAAAGAGGCTTGCATGAAAAAGATAGGAGAATAGCCCACCACAACCGGATGGACGTATCAAGTTCAGTGTAGCAGTAATGCCAATACTGGATTAATCACCACCCCTCAATTTCAACAAGTTTTGAGATTGGAGGTGTTGGAGATTGGAGACCACATCCCGCTAAAAAGGTGATGACCTGATGACGGATGATAGTTAATAGGATTCTGTGTGAACACTGAGGCCTGTGAGAGGGGTACCCTTTGTGAGCTAGAAAACGTTTAGACTTGATTTTGATAGAGTTTAATAATGGAAATATAAATAATTTTGCTAGAGAGGTTTTCAGGGATTGTGGACAAAGATTGCAGGGGAGAACATTGGTAGCGTAGATTGCAGCTTTAAACAATATACCAATGAATTACTTTTTGTTTTCTAGGGGCAGATGGGCTTGATTAATAGGGGAGGTTACTTAATCCTGTGTGCGCATTATACTTCGGAGAGGAGGATTGGATGGTTATTCAGACAGCTCGTCCAAGCATGTTCTTCAAGCAGAAAGCACAGCCTAGATCCGAAGATCCCTGTAGAGAGGCCCCGGGAAGCAAGTGGCTGACAAATTTTAGGGTATTCCCTGTAAACTTGTGGATACACCTGGGTTTGAGTCTGGTGAAAGATCGCATTTGGCGAGTCATCTATATTCAGCTCTTGCAAAAGGATGCACAGAGGCAGGTTGCAGTTTCTCTTCACATCATGACTTCTTGAAAACTACTCAGGCCAGAGGAGGAGTTGGTTGCAGCGGCTGAGGACAGACACGTTGAAAGCTCAAGAGTGGCAGGCAGCCGTCGACACTGCAACTATATAAATAGGCGCAATGACAAGGCGCGCAGATTCAGGCTAGTCGCTGCCGTTTGGCCAATTATGTAATGTTTCTGTCTAGCTGATGCCAGAGATAAACACAGAATGTGAGAACCAGGCATAGTAATGCGTGTTTCATTGGATTGCATGCATGTATTTTTGTAGATTGTAGTGATGATTACAATGGCAAGGAGCCTGGCTGTTCGGCTCTTCCTCCAGAACTGGATTGGTTGCTTGACAACACTATTTGTTTGGTTGCTCAACGGTAAAGCTGTTGGTGGGCAGACGTTCGGAACAGATGACCGCCGGATGACCGCTGGATGTTTTGAGATTGGAAGGTTTCAGCAGTTGACAAAGTAACAAATACGAGTCCAATTTATCAGTTTCCAGTGCAAACCGAAAGCAAGTACACAGCAAAGCCTCTTTGACTTGAAGACCCTCTGCATGTGGGGAGGCAATCATATCAAACAATCGTTACCAAGACCTACACAGCCTTCTCTCATTTAGGCCAGATGAAGAGGTGCTTGCAGCGGCTGAGGAGAAACGTGTGACCGCCACCACTAGCACTAGATAGCACTGCGTAAACAGTCAGATAGTGTTAAACTGTTGGATGTTGTTGCCACGTGTGCGCAACCGATTTGATCCAGATGTGGCGCTTCAATGGTTTTGTGCAGTTTCTAAGTATCCTGGCCAGACGCCGTGGATTTAGATAGAGGGTGAGAATCTCGGGCAGGACCAAGCATATACTACTACTAGTGGTACATTATTTGAGTGTATATGATGTTCTTTCAGCACTGACATTGGTGACTTTGAGCAAGGAGGCTGGCAGTTCGGCTCTTCCTCCAGAACTGAATTGGTTGCTTGACAGCACCTGGACTAGAAGGGATACTTGCGACCAGGTCAGCACTGTTGAAATTCATTTTGTTGCTGCCTTGTTGCTAGTAGCTTCTTGTTACTAGCAGCGATGACCTCCAACTTATTTGCGATGGCCGGAACGCTCGGACCAGATGGACTCAAGCTTAGCAACATTATCACGGGAGCATGCAACAAGCACAAGCAAGTGTTACGTACTGTATAGGATCGTGAACGGCGGCATTTGCAAGTCACGTTTGCTACCTAGGCCTGATGAGGAGGTCCTTGCAGTGACCAAGGAGAGAAAGCTAACGAAACTTCAATACTTGGTTCCGAGAAGTCTTGCATGTTGTTTTTGCATGTTATTGCTGCAGGAATGCATGTCATGCCAAGCTTTGCCGTTTTAGCCACTATGGCTCAGTTCATTCAGGTCTTTTACTGAACGTTCATGGGGGCCGTAAAACTCCTCGGAGATTTTCCATGTCAAAGGCGGAGGAATCCGTGAAGGATATTGAAAAGGAATCTGGTGAAGATGTCGCATTGCTCACTGGGAAGCAGCGACGCATCTTGCATTAAATTTTGATACCATCGATGACGATGTGTGGGCAGAACTGTTGATATGCAACATTGTGTTTGTTCTCGATGTTTTTTGCAGGTGAATGCTCTTGGACATGTGGCATAGCGGAGTTTATCGATGACCTCGCAGGTTCGCCGCCTACCTCGTAGTTGGATGTCAATGCCACAAGATGAATCTGCAGCACATTACGTTTTGTACTTCATGTAGGTGCTATGGGCTACAAACTCTTGATCCTCCTCTTCTTTGTTGAGCATGTGGCCCGGTCTTATCAATCAATGCTTGTTGCTTTGGCGTGGAGATTGACCATGCAAATGCCCTTCTACAGTAGTTTTCCATAGTTTTCCCATTGGCCATGTGAGGTTGAAAGAGGCTTCGTTGCTGACTTCACTGGACAAGCCGAACCTTGACTCATTGAGCTCCAAACGTCGTCGTCAACAAAGTGAACTGGACAGCCAACGTTTGAGAATATCCAATCTTCCCGATCAAGCATTTGCCGAAGCCATCCGAAACCAGCAACAACCAAATTGGAAGAAGTGGGAGAGAGGGAATTTTGGCTACTGCCCTGAAGTACTAAGCCATGTCACCACTCCCAACTATTATCGTTGTTAATTACCTGGCGGTTGTGAGGATCAGTACATCTACAAGTCGAGCCTTGGCAGCATACGATTGCACATTGTGTGACTTGTAGCGCTGTCATTTGGCCATAGTCCGTCTAGCCCAAGGTACAGTGTCCCGGGTCCACAGGTCAATATATTTTCAGGCGAGCGTTTGAATATTGGTTGAACTTGTTTTCAGGCGAGCACGACATCTTGAGATTTTTACAACAATCCTTTGCCAATCTGGCAACTTTCTCAATTCTCTCTTTCTATCCTTTCATCCTTTCTGGCAACAGGAATCATAGACGCAATCAGTGATGCGGTTCAGATTAAGATTTCATGCAGACAAGACAAAACAATGGCTATTGAACCGCAAGGCATCACACAGCTTCCCTGGGCTTTGAAGCCCATCATCGGCCTTGTGAGTGACATGCTTCCGCTTGGCCATGAGCTCAGCTCTGATCCAGAGTGATGCTCGGCTCTGTTCAGATGACATTCGGCTCGCTTGCCAGGTGGCTATCACAAATCTCCATACATGATTGCCTCTGCCATCACTGGCTGTATAGCCCTTGTGGTGATTGGCGCAGTTCCGAAAACCATGCTTTCATTGACACTGTTGGGGACCTGGTGTGCTTTCAGATATGCAATTGCCTAAAAAAGCATGGGCACTGAAGTCCTGGTTCGTTGGCTGCTACGGAGCTGCAAGGCTAGTTGTGTGCCTGTTCTTCAACCAGACACAGCTTTCCGTGTGTGACATCCTGGCAGAGGCAAAGCACAACCGGCAAAACCATGCACCTCTCCAAACACGCCATGCGAACATTCGAGAGTTGTCACTTGGAGAAATTGTGGAGGCCAAATATGCGGAGAGAATCCAGCAAGTACCAGCTTATGGGCCACACCTTTTGAGCACCTCGGCTGAACAACCGTAGTAGGCACCTCGGCTGAACAACCCCAGTAGCGATGGCCTTCACTCTACTACCGACTACCGATGGCCTCCAACCTGGCAATGTAGGATCCTGATTAGTAAAAGGGATCCCCCCTCCTCTAAACAAAAGGGAGGTCCTCTATAATAAACTACCGTCAAAACAATTCTGGGTTCCTGGGAGGATTCCTTTCGTAATTGATTGTAGTATCAATTTTCCTTGTGTTTTCAATTCATAGATTATATTTTCATGTTCCTTTCTCAGGTTCTTTGTAGATATTCTCAGCAATCCTGTTATACTCAGGTTCCACTTTAGGGGCGTAGTTGCAAAGCAGGGCATAGCCTAGGGGGCACTATGAATCACTCAGAACTTCAATGAGGGTTGGAGAACCGATTGGGTTCGCAGAAGCTGTTTTGGCCCTCCCCAGAACCCTGTTTCATGGTTCTAAGAACCACCTCCTGGTTCACAGAAGGTCTTGGAACCCAAAGGGGTTCCAGAACTAAGCCGCTCCCAACCGTGCCCCTAAAGTGGAGTCCTAAATAAAATACCACTAAAAAGAGTACAAAGAAGGTTCTCAGGTTCTTTGCGGCTTTGAAGACGAACTAGAGAAACCTATACTTATCAATACTCTCAGCAAGCCAGCCATTGGCTTAGTAGTATTAAGATTGGTTATTTATTTCTAATGAGAAAAACTTTGCACAATTGAGGACCCATAAAACCCATTTTATATTGAGGATCAGGAGCCTTCCTGGCTTACTACCTTGAACATTTGTTTAGGAGCAATCTTTTCATAAAGGATTGATTATATAAGGATTTGATAGCTTTGGGAAGCTGCCAGGTTTGCAGAGGAACTAGACAAACCTACGTATACTTATCAATACTCTCAACAAGTAGCGATGGCCTCCACCCTTAGTAGCGATGGCCTCCCCCTAGTAGCGATGTCCTCCACCCTATTAGCAATGGCTTCCCACCTAGTAGTGATGGACTCTAACGTAATAGCGATGGCCTCCACCTTAGTAGCAATGGCCTCCACCCTAGTAGCTGGTCTCCAACCAAAGAATCCAGCAAGTGCTGCCAGTTTATGGGCCTCACCTTTTGAGCGCATCAGCTGAACAACACAAGCACTGCAAAGCAGCCACGGGTCCCACGGGATTTGTTGCCTAGTAGTTGACCCATTGTTGACCCATACCCACATCCATAGCTTCAAATGGTGAAACTTCGATTTAAGATGAATGAATAGCTTAGTTCTTGTTGGCTCCAACAGCTGTCAGGCTACGTTTGGTTTGGAATGAATATTGGGAGCCTTGTCTGAGATTTGCAGATGTGGTAGATGACTTGCAGATGCCTTTTTTGGGCACTATTCACCTTCATGATTGGAAGATGATGTGCATGTCTCAGCTGGGCAAAAGCACAGAGGTCTTTGGTCGGGATGCTTCTCTCCGGCATCATTCTTGCAACGTTTTCGCCCAAGTTGCCCTACTTGATTGCCGTTGGGCGCCCAGTTTGCTACCTTTGTGTGCCCAACCGGCTGTCGCGTTTTTGGGGATCAAGGCGCTGCCTGCGGGAATGGCCTCTTGGCAGAGCGAAGCGAAGCGCGTCCTCATGTTCAATCAATGTGTGAAGAGACACTACAGTCAAAGGTCTTGATCCCTTTGATTCTGGGTTGCTTGGAAGAGAAGCGTGTCACACCTGAAGAAGCGGAAGCTTGGCATATCTGGAAGCGGCCTGGGACATGCAAAAAAATTATAGAAAAGCCCAAGACAACTCTGGACGCTCTAGAGAAGAACGTACGCGTCATGGGACATGAGCTGCACAGCTTTGCAATGACACAAGACTTGGCCTTGACAAAGTGCCACTCTCGGTTGTAACCCTTCTATATTTTGGAGGCAAAGTAAAGAGCGAGTCCTTGTATGCCCTGGGCATTGACCTTTTGCAAATATTTGTGAATCACAGTTTGAAGCTCAACATGGCCCTCATTCTGACGAGTACCGGATATGATATGGCATGGACATTGTTTCAATGGTGCCATTTAATTTACAAGATGAATAGGAAACGCCGGACTACTGTAATAACCCCTCCTTCCAGGATTTGTTTGAAAGGCGTTCATTATTGGAGGCCCCGAGGCGGACCAAACTAATGGGGGATTATTTTGGACCGTCGTTGGTAATTTGATCGCACATCCACCTTGTCTCTTCAAAGACCTCATGAACCTTTGCAGCCATTTGGATGCAACATCACTGTCTCTTAGGCTGAGCAGCGCAAGAAGTTTTACAAGTACCTTGGCTGCCATTTTCTTTGTCGTGATGACAAGTTATGAACAATCCCAGGCGACCAGGGGCCTTTGTCACTTTATAAGTTCTCGATATACTACAGTAGGTTTTGTGATACAAACACTTGACCCGTCCCCCGTATAACGTGCTAGACGGTGTTGATCATCACTGTAGCATCAGCCTGAGGCAAACGGAGGCAATGCTCCTCAGTGGGCCTCCCGGCAGCATTCACTGCATGTCTCCGTAGGCTGCTCCTACTGACCACATCCCACCACCCATTCTGCGTAGATTCGAACTAACCAAAAATCCCAGTAGAATTGAATGACTGGTCCTGTTGGATGCCATGGCAAAATCAGCAGCACGACTGTGACCTACGAGGATGATTTGCCTTGCCTGCCTTGGCCTCACGGTGTGTGGATTGGCATCGAGCAATGTCCGGCTGAATGCTACAGTGGCTTTGCTGGCCTTTCTCTTGGTGGGTTTCAGTTTCAGCGATCCTTGTCTGAAAACAAGGACTAAACTTAAACCTCCCAAGTAGAACAGAATCCAACTTGACTTGATCAAGGAATCAAGGAAGTAGACACATCACTCAAGCATGCTTTGTAACAGAACATATTTGGTAAGATGCAGCATGCATGTGCCCGCATAAACGCCAGCACAATTCCACAGAGAGTTCGAGCGCGGCGACCTTTTGCCGACCAATCTGCTTGGCCCCCATTGCGAAACAACAAAGAAGCTAGTAGTAACAAGTGCATCGCTACTAGTAACAAGTGCCTTACTAGTAGTAACAAGAGGCTAGTAGTAACAAGTACCTAGATGTTTCCCCATTGACACGGACCACACGTGACTGCCTGCGGACTCAAGACTCAAGACCATGTGTGTGTGTCCTCTTTGGAGAGGGAAGTGGGGGGATCGGTTGCTGTGCGTGTGTGTGTGTGTGTGTTTGTTTGTTTGTGTGCAGGTGTTCCTCTCTCCCACGATTGCCAAGTTCAACGCTTGGTCTTTGCTGCAAACTTCTTTGTCACTCTCAACCAGAATCTTGGAGTTGGGAGACAGGTGACGTAAGCCAACTCCATGTGGGGTGAAGACGGCAGGCCGGAACATAGGACCGGAACATAAGCGTTTGCCAAGGAGGTGCTGCTTTCTATTTTCAAACCGACACAGCCGAACAATATCCAGAGGCAGGGTACTGCACCACACAATGTAATAGACATGATATCATCATTTACTGTTATTTGCTAGCTTGGCAATGGTTTTGGAACGGGTTGGAAGATAAACCAAGAGGCACGAAGTTGAGATTTTTTTCTATCTGGCCCCAGCGGGCAGGGACCACATTTCTCCCCCTTCTTCTACAACTCCGTCATTGGCACCGAATCTCGGCTGTTCTTTTTTGAACATCAGATGACAGCAGAGTGGACAGACCCAAGGTGTCATCTTGTTTGGTGTGGTTGCTTGACTTGCTTAACGTGCTGCTGTGTCAGGTTGGTGCTTTGACATCCTTGGCCACTTGGTTGATGATTAGATAATCTAATCTCCAAGGCAGTGAGGTAACCAGGTATGCTGGGGTCATCTTGTGGGTGTTGATGTTTTGTGCACCATCGCAAAGCTTCAAGGTTGGCATTATTACCTTTCAGCGCTACATGACCCATTACAAGTATAGGAGACAGAATGTGAAAAGAAACAAAGCAAGGTCTGCAGACCAAAAGATCCAAAAGGTCAGAATAGGAGACAACAAAGAAGCTAGTAGTAACAAGTGCATCGCTACTAGTAACAAGTGCCTTACTAGTAGTAACAAGAAGCTAGTAGTAACAAGTGCATCGTTACTAACTTGGACCACCTTGCAGAACTTGTGACACTGTGACCGAGCAAGCGGAGCTGTGATGAACGATTGGAGGAACTTGTTGCTCGTGACAAACGTGGTGTTCTCTTTTTTGAATATGCTGGATGCAGTGTTGACGCTCGTCCGGTTTGGCCCAACGATTTGTTCAACATTATGACTTGTTCATGTTGCCTTCTTTTTTCATGTGTTATTCCTTAAAGCTATTTGTAGACCTTTTGTGTGTCATGTCCTTCCTTCTTTTCAATCGGCCATTACTCCAATATCCGAGCTGGCGTGTACGTTTGCAAGGTATAGCAGGCTAAACAAGAGAATCGGCATACCAGACCATGCTTTTGTTCTCGGAATCTTGTCTGCAAAGCTCAGCCGGTCCTTCTCAATGTTTTGGTCACTGCCCCCCCATCAGATCTTTACAGCTCTTGAGGTACTGGCGTCTTGCAGAATGTGATGAATCAATGGCAATGGCTGCCTCAAGTGATTATCCTCTCATATTTTTGCCCAAAAGGAATGGAAGCCACAATGTATGCTCTTCTTGCTGGTTGCCACAACCTTGGGAACACCATCGCCAGCAATTGGGGAGCCTTGCTTTTGGAGTTGCTTTCCATCAATCCCAATGGCTCGCCCGGTGAGGGTGATCAGTTCCAAAACCTGTGGAAGGCCTCCCTCTTGGCGTCAGTGCTTCCGATGATCACCGTTGTGGCACTCTTCCAATTCATCCCAGATGTGAAGCAGGGCGATCGAATTGTTGACCCACATGAAACGGCGACGAGAGACTCCTTGTGGAAGCGCTTTTGGAACATCCGTGACGAACGGGAAGACTGAGAAACAACAGACCAGAGTCGCCAAAATCGGCAGAGAAGAAAACAGAGTTGGATAGAGTTGGCAAACCTGGTAAAGTCACGAAGCTTCGTGAAGTGCTTTCCCTTCATACAGGGTTGATGGACGGATCCCCAATCTCCTCATTTCCAACAACGCCAAGCATTGAGCCATTACTTGGAACTTGCAGTGCTAGATTGAACATCCTTTGCCAGAGAAGCCATCAAGACATTGGACAGGAGGTCGTCGCGCCCATCAGTCCCGACAGTCAGGCCCCATGACAGTATGAGAAAGAGAACAAACGACTAGTGAAGCTAGGCTTGGCTTAATCAGGCCCAATAGTGGCTTATTTTCATAACCGTTTGTGTTCTTTTTTCCAGACTGCACTCACTTCGTAACAACAGTCTGATGAACTTACTCACTGACATCCAGGACGCTGATGCTGAGGTGTAGATCTCGGATGTTTGCTGGGTGTCAAGATAGGTTAAGAAATATCAAATGTTCAATCGATCAATAGGACAGCAGCAATCATTATCAACTTCTTGCTTTGGGGTTGTTTAACTTTGTTGACGAGCAGACAAATTGTCTAAGGAAATCAGGCTTCGGTGTCGTTGCCAGATGATTAAGGTGAAGCAGGAGGCGCTTCCCGGCTGCTGATGTTTGTACTAGAATTATTTGTGTACTACTTTTTGATATTATCTATTTGTGTACTAAGAATATATAAAACTATTTAAGAAACACAATGTATAATATATATATAGATACACGTTACACATTATACATATTATGTTGAAGTTCTCATGTTGCATGTTGCAAGGCTTATGTAACTATTGTTCTGTATGCCGCCCGTCACTCTTAGTATTTGTTAGTCATTGAAAGCCAGGAAGACAGAGCCTAGAATCATTTCAATCTTGGACTAAATGATAGAGAGTGCAAACGGGTATATAAATCCTAATATCCGCAAGATCTCATCTATAAAATGACAGGTCGAAGAAAGCAGCGAACCCTCTGCGAAGGCAGGCAGACGAGGAGTCGTTGGTGTCGGTGTTGTTGCCCACACGACAATCTCTTACGCCAGTTTGGCAGTACCACTAGTAAGATCAAACATAAGGCAGGTATAAGCTTGTAGCTTCCAGCATGTGCCACTTAGATTCAAACGTTGCATATTGAGGCAAGCCCTGTGGCCGTTCCGACGCCAACGGGTGATTTGCGACAAATCTTCCAGCAGCAGCGGGAGAGTCAGCCGGGAGACCTTACGAAGGGAGTGGCATGGGGCAGCCAGGTCCAGCAACAAGACCAACAGGCACTTACTCCAGTTGACCCAAACAAGCAAGCAAGATCAAGCAAGAAACGTGCGCTGCATTGACTTGGATTTGGACATTTCAATTTGACTGTGCTGGTCCTTGTCCTTGCAGCATCCCTGAACAAGAGAGTACTTTCAAGGGTTTCGGTTTCCATCCCTTGTTTGAGTGGAGAAATCCCAAAACAGTTCAGACTGTTCAATGTTGACCAGTAGACTGCTTCCTTTCATCATCCTTTCTCAGAACCTTGTCATCGTAGCTGCAAATCTTGAGTGTTGAGTGCCGAAACCACACTGTCAAAACGGATGTTCTCTTTGAGGGAAACTGCTAGTATGGTAAGTGTTTAGAAGCCTGAGGTCTCGGGCAGACGCTGAGGACGCTTCCAATTTTGTTGAACACTTTGGACTGCGGACCGGTCACGGGTCACGACTTTTGCCATCATTTGCAGTGCACTTGGGCACTTCTGTGCTGTCTCCAAACTGGCTGGTTTGCTTCATTGTGCTTGCTGTCGGATGCAACATAAAGTAACATTTTGATACATTTTGGCTCAGTCCCACTGGCAGGGTGGTTGAAACAGACGCCTTGCATTGCTTACCGTGCTCCTTTCATAATTCGATCAGCCGCATCGGGGAAAACCCTCGCTCGGGCTTCCGGGCATCCCGAACAGGCCGATTTTCTCACCTTACTCGCGTGGTACTTGCGTCAGCAAGAGCTTCGCGTCTGAAGAAAGCAGATGGCATTCTTTGCGCAGATCTTGGCAGCCCTTGCCGTAGCCAATGTGTTGCCAACAGCACACACATCGCAGGATAAAGGTCTTGTCTCGACATGGTCAAGACATATGAACCTGGGACCCACCCTCGAAGACCCCTCATCATCTTGGCTGTTGGAAAAGGATGATTTCTCGGAGACTGTCGAGATGCCATGCAGCATCAAGAATGTTGAGGTGAAAGCTGCACCCAATCTGCCGAGAATTACTGCCAATCTTCCAAGCATTTCTGAAGCTCTCCTTCTCACAGTAGCTGCTCTCAGCTTGGGCGTCTCTTTGTCACTCCGAGGGCTTTGCAGTCAGCCGACACTGTCGGATCACTTGCCATCCCCGAAAGCCAACGAGACCACAGACACCTTTGGTTGTACAGAACTGCACGTGGCAGCAGCAGAGGGTTCTGCCCTTCTGGCGCGAAAGCTTCTGGAGGGCGGCTCAGATCCAAATGCCAGGGAAGCTTGGGAGGAGACGCGAGTTGCAGGGCTTTTGTGGTATACCATTCCAAATCTTTTTGCGGTGCACCTGTAGAGCTTTCCAGGTTGGCTCTCTCTCTCTCTCTCTATCTGTCTATCTATCTATCTATCTATCTTCCTCCAAACCGTAGCCCATGCAGTCGTTGCATAGGACCAAAAGGTTTGCTTGTGGAGACTCCTTATGCTTGGCAGGAGACACCATTACACATGGCTGCTCGCAGTGGAAACCTCCCTGTGGCACAGCTGTTGGTCTCCCGTGGTGCAGACTTGAACGCACAGAACTTAGACAATCTCACACCTTTGGTGGTGGCGGCAAAAGAAGGGAAGAAGGACAGCTTCCATCAGCCCGCGGTTCAGGTTTGGCACAGGATCATGCAGGATCAAAAGGTCTCAAAGTTCAACAAGAACTCACAAACAAGTGTCCTCCATTTACGAACTGATCTGACCATGGGTCTATCACTGGTCGGCACCGGTTCCAGTCACGTTGGCCAAGCAATTTGCACTGCATGCAGGCCTCAGTTCGCACCAGCATTCTACTAGCCTAGTATGTTGCAGCTTATTGGGAAGCACTTCAGGTAACCCTTGGGGTACCGTAACTCTTAGAACGTTCTTCATGAAAGACCCTTCTGAAATACCAATGGCCAGGAAGTTTGCAGCTTCCTGTTAGAAATGGGAGCCAGTGCTGGTGGCATGGAAGAGGACAGGCTTCCTTGCCTGTTGAACTCCTTGCTTCTGCAGCTCGGTTGGAGTCTGTGTGTGTGTGTGGTGCGGTCTTGGAACTACAGAGGATTGGGGCATATGTTCTTGCTGTCTCCTATCCTTTTCACACGACTGATTCTTGTCACCTCGACAGGTCATGCTGAAACACATTTTTTGCGTGCGAACTAAGGGAGCAGGTCAGTTTGCACAACTCATCATGCATCTCAAAGCTGGCTGTACAATATGGTACGAATTGAAGGTTGATGAAACTGAGGCAGCGAATGCTGAATGGTAAGGATGAGACCAAGGCGCGCTGGCCAGGTTCGCACTGAACTTTTTGTTAAGGTCTAAGCTGAAGAGGAGTTGCTAGCCATACTACGACATCATGTTTTTTTCACAAAATGTATCAACATGTCATCACTCCTTTGCTATCAAATCCACGCACCTAGTCTAGGACAGCATTTGAAATAGGCCCATACAACGCATATCAACGCATAATTGCAGGAGTTCCCGCACTTCAGCTCAAGGGCTGAAGCACTTGGATTGCAAACTGTTGGTTCGATCCAAGCCATCACATCTTGCGTGAGGCAGCCTACAGCAATCAACGCACGGTTCCAATGGAGTCTGGCGCTTTGCGTTCGATAAGAAAGATTGACGACCTTTAAGAGCTTTTGGGAGCCACTAGTAGCGAACATTGTTCCTAGTAGCTTTTGTTTTTTTGTTCGCACCTGAGGCGTGCAATGTACATCGCTGCCTGAATAGCGCACCCGTGGCGCACTACAGTTTCAATTTTCAATGTGGGGACACAGATGGGCGTCAACGTTGCTGTAGTCCTAGCAGCAAGTGTTGGCGTGCTTCCCCGTGAGATGCTCGCCCCACAACCCACACTTGCTGTGGGCTTGGGCATCCAATGAACTGGCCGCCATTGAAAATCTGAAGCACATGCCAGAGCAAAGCTTGGTTGAGCACTTGATTTGATGGCCTTTTCACTTTGCCAAAGTTGATTGTCATGGCCACCAGGAGGGAAACGAAGAGGAGGAGAACGAGGATGATGACACTGCTGAAAAGCAGGCTGTCTCAGTATGAGCTGTCATAATTTGATATAATGTTTGTTAAAACAGGGCATCAAGAAGACTCCCTTAGGACTCCTGGTCCAAGAGAGTGTCCAAGCAAGTCGAAGGATCGTAGAAGAAAAGGACTTGAAGCTAGGGTCGATATATGCTCTTTCATGTTTCTCATTTAAAAACTATTTTAGAAATACACAAACACTATATTTATATATAACGCTCTGAAATATCTATTTAAACTCTGTTTAACTCTATTTCATGCTCGTTTTGATATCGATGTCAGGCCTTTGAATCTGCCCAAGAGTTGTCTCTGGAGTCGGGCGGCCTAGCCTCGGGGGGGCCTAGGCCCTAGTAGCGCTATTTGTTCCTAATAGCTTCTTGTTACTACTAGTAAGGCACTTGTTACTAGAAGCGATGCACTTGTTCCTAGTAGCTTCTTGTTCCTAGTAGTAAGGCCCGGAGCCCCAGTAGCTAGAGTCCTTGCTCCTAGTAGCGATGCCAGGAGCCCCGAGTAGCTTCTTGTTCCTACAATCCGAAAGAACCAGCTTTTCCGTTTGTTGAGCCGCCTAGGCTATACGATGCTCCAAGATTGTAAGGGTAAGGACGACGAAGCACTCCCACCCAAACTCCTACCAGAATCTAGAAAGAAATTGGAAGTTCACTTTCTGCTCTGTTTCCGGTTTGCCTGTTGTTTGACACAAGGCAAAACCGATCGGAACGACAGCTGCGCCAGCAACAAGAGCAAGACCTGCTGCACCAAGGGAGCCCTGCGAGTTTGTAGATCTAGAGAAGACTTGAAGACCATCCTGGGCTGTTTGGAGTTTTGCTCTAGTTTTCTTTGCCTTCAGGAGCTTATACCCTCTAGAATGTCTGGATCAGGCAAGATCTGAGGGGCATGCGGGGCATGAGGTGGTTCCGCAGAACAAGGCATTGACACCCTGATATGAAAAACTCAGACTGCTGATGTTGGCATTTCATGTCAAAATCAAAGCACATTTTTTTCCAAGCCCCACACGACATTTGGAGTTTTGCTCCGTCCATGCTTGCCTCAAGCGGGTCTCCGAGCAGCACCAGGCGTCATGCACCAACGTCACCAACTTCCGCTCTTTTTCTTGGGAAGCACTTCCGCTCTTGCTGCTGAAGATTTTGCTTCCCACGGATGGACAATACCCAGAGAACACCATTTGGGATGTTTGTGGAACTTTCGCACGAGCATTTCAATTTGCCTATCATCTGAAGGCTCTTTGAAGGGGAATCGCTATGCCAACACCACCAGTCTGAAGGCCTTGAATCCACCTGAAGATCAAGTATTGACCGGCCAGCAATGCTTCCGCAGTGTGCTGGTAGCACATGACTTGCAGGAGAAGTTTCTACGCTTCTACCAGCACAATGGAATCCCACCCATTGAAGAGGTTCTTTGGATTACAGGCTTGCCAGTAGAAGGACAAGAGGAACTCTGGGAGATTTGTCCAGGAATGCTCATTACAGCTCTTTTCTTTCATTCGGAGCTTCGTTTCTCACTCCGACCCCGTGATTTGTGGGGCCAGCTCCAGAGATCCCGAGCTCGCAGCTTGCTTTGGCGCATGGCCGGTACCAATGGAAGCTACGAGAGAGACCACTACCGTGTGACCTTGAGGACCTGGCCCATTTCTGCGGCCTCTGCCAGATCGCTGAAGCTGCAGAAAGCACTCACCTCTGCAAAAAGGAGTTACCATCAAGCTGTTGGTGAACGAAGCCGAAGTGAATCCGTAGATATCGTCGTGGTCTTCTGTCATGGACATTTGGACTGGCTGGATGATCTCACTTTCCCTTCCAAGCATCGAGTTCTGGTCTACTTAAAGTGCTCTGAATCCAAAGAGCATGCCTTTTGCGCCAAGTTTCATTGTAAAGATGCGGCCTTTCTAGATGCGAGAGATGCGAAAGGAGGGATTCGGTCAAGTGATGAATGTGGTGGATATTTGCTGCACATCCAGGATCATTTGGAAGATCTCTCTGATTGGACAATATTTTTGCAAGACGATGCACCGCGCCACTTGCACTTGGGTTACTTGAACCTTGTCCTCAAGTTACTGGGCTCTGGAACCTTCTCAAGTTTGGCAGGGACATTTTTGCACCTAAATAACGATAGGCATCTTCTGTACTGGACACCGTGCCTGGAATCGCTAATGAAGTTGCTTGACCTTCCACCATCCAATCTTTTGGCGACGTATTGCTGCGCTCAATTCGTGGTTCACCGAAGTCAAATATCCAAACGTGGCGCAGGCTTCTTTCAGAAGGCCTCAACGCTTTTGAAGGAGAACTTGGAAGATATTCCTGGATGCCAGTACCATGGTGCGTCAGAGCAAAGAAGAACACAGATTACAGGAATCAGGCTTGAAGAATCTGAAAAGGGACATGAAAGGGCAGTCGACTCTGAAAGCTCAACATTCCAGATGAGACTTTGTCACCTCTACGACGCTTTGATCAAAATGAGTCCTTCAGAGTCCTTCTATTCAAAGCGCATCTCCTAGACCTTGCTGTTTTGTGCTAACTTTATCTAACTTTTGGATTCTTTTTGTGCAGTCCATACGAGAGAAGGACCGGTGGCAGAATCTAGGGCATACTAACTTACTTGTAGCATGCTCCGTGACACTTCCTCTATGATACGGACTGTGTGCATGTTGTGAGGAACACACTAGTATGCTCTACAGTATGCTCTACATAGTATGCCAGGTATAATATGCAAGCCAACAACCTGGGTGACCAGAGATTGCCTTACTGTATATACATAAGCTATACAGAAGCTTTGGAGATAGAGATAGAGAGAAGCTCGATTTGAAGAGTCATACACCCAATATCTTTTGCTTCATGGTCATCTGGGCCTGATTTTTTTGGTTGGTTGGCACTTGCAGGTGAAACGATGTGGTTCCTCAATGTTCCTCTAATTGATATATATATATATAATAGTTATAATTACGTATATAGTAATCAAAGGACGTTTAGTGTGCAAAACTTCCGTGTTACGGACATTCAACAGCTTTTCAACCACCACTCATCATACACCACTCATCATACACGACTCATCATACACCACTCATCACACACCACTCATCATACACCACTCATCATACACCACTCATCATACACT